TCAAACAATGAGGACCTAAATTTTGGGATGATTCGCATATTTTAATTTTCAGTATTCAATATTTTACAGGTACTTACGTTGTAAATGTTGTAAAATCGGTCAATTCATGTCTAATATAGTTATACTTTATATTATTTATATTTTTCATATTTTTCAAATCTACAAGTAGTTTAAAAAGTATTGAACAGAGGCATTGCAACTATCTGGGACCAAAAGTTCTAAATTTGGTTAAAAAATATTCATAAGTTCAAGTTATTTAAATATAAAACAAAAAAGTGGATATCACATTGTGATAGAGAACTATTTGATAAGCTAGTTAACCAAATGGGGTATGTCTAATTTGCGGATTGGAATTTGACCGCTGCCAGGTACTAAACGAGTAATAGTTAGGAGTTAATATTTCTGACATGTAATATACATCCTAATATCTTTTTTACAGGTGAAACCATTTTTCACCCCCAACGCCTCCAATGGGTACATTGTTCTTGTAAATTTTGACAAAATCAGTACCAGGTACTAGAAAAAACGCGGTAAACTGCTGATACTTTGTAAACGTAATACTTACCCTAATACTTGTTTGCCAGGGGAAACCATTACCCCCCCCCATTGCCTCCAAGGAGTACCTTACTCCTGTCAATTTTGACAAAATTAGTGCCAGGTACTAGAAAACACCCGCTGGATTGCTAAAACTTCGCACACGTAATTAATATTCCAATACCTTTTTGCCAGGCTAAATCATTTTCCCCTATCGCCTCCAAGGGGTACTTTACGCCTGTCAATTTTGACAAAATTAGTGCCAGGTACTAGAAAAAACGCACTAGATTGCTTAGGATAAATATTACGTGTACGAAGTCACAGCAATTTTTTCTAGTACCTGCCACTAATTTTGTCAAAATTGACAAGAGTAAAGTATCTCTTTTAGGCGATGGAGGGAAAAATGGTTTCACCTGACAAAAAGGTATTGGGATAAGAATCACGTGTGTGAATTTTAGCAATATAGCGGGTCTTTTCTAATACCTGGCACTAATTTTGTCAAAATTGACAGGAGCAAAGTACCCCTTGGAGGCGAGGGGGGGAAAACGATTTCACCTGGCAAAAAGGTATTGAGATAAGTATGACGTGTACGAAGTCACAGCAATTTACCGCGTTTTTACTTGTATCTGACACTGATTTTGTCAAAATTGACAAGGACAAAGTAACCCTTGAAGGCGTTGGGGAGAAAAATGGTTTCACCTGGCAAAAAGGTATTGGGATGTATATTACATGTCAAAAATATTAACTCCTAACTGTAACTTGTTTGGTACCTGGCAGCGGGTAAATTCCAATCCGCAAATTAGAGATATCCAACCAAAATAACCAAAATAAATGTATAATACTTACATTCACCCGAAAGCAACATGAGATAAAATGTTACAACAACATTTTGAAACTGTCCATTCAAAAGCAACTTATATTAGCAAAACTACACAAAATCAATTAATAAATTGTTGTGGTGATGAAATTAGAGATAGTTTGATTAAGAGGATTAAATCTTCAAAATTTTATAGCATAATATTTGATGAGATAACTGATGCAAGCCAGTCATCACAGATGTCAATAATTATTTGATGTCTACGAAAATGAAGTTCACGAAGATTTTCTTGATTTCATTAATTGTCATAAAGTAAATTATGGCGATTCCGCCGAGAAACAGTAAGAACCTGTACTTTCCGTTAAAATTTTGGCCGTTACCATATTAAAAAATATAATTTAAATACGAAATATTGTATTGGTATAGGAACTGACGGTTGTAGTGTTATGGGAAGAAAGGGGCAGTAAAGGAACTTCAGTCAGTATTTTCTAATGCTACGCGTTGTCCCTGTTATAACCATGCTTTAAATTTATCTCCATCGACATTTTCAAATATACAAGATATACACAATGTGGTTTCATTTATGAAAGAAGTTAAGTTATTTATTGCTTCTTCTAAAAGAAGTAAAGTATTAAAGAATATCCATGAAGGAAACCTGAGTAGTTTTTGCGAAACACGTTGGATAGAAATACACGAGAGTGTTCTGAAATTTAAAATAATTTAAAAGATATTTGCCCAGTCCTTTTACTATGTAAGTACCACACTATTTAATTATTTTCCTCATATTCACTTGCTTAGTTACTCTCAAACTATTAAGATTTACTCTCATATTGGTTGATATATTATTAATTAATATTATGTTATATTGTAAATTACCTTTTAACATTTAATACCTTAATTATACAGGGTGTTTTCAAAGTTAAGTCATTTATTTTAACAGCTTGTAGAACTCGTCAAAAGAAGTCGATATACCAAAAATCACCTAAATAAAAGTTGCATATTAAAAGAAACAGAAAGGAATTTTAAAATTTTAAAACTAAAACAGAAACAAACTATTTATCCGCATATTTTAATATTCCTGACCACTGCCAAGTTTACTACGACAATCTCAAAAGTGTAACCTAATAATTGTACCTACTTAATAATAAATTAAAGTTTATCGAACATTTTTGGTGCCAACCTGTACTTCATCGTGTGTCTCTGTGAAAGAATATGGATTTTATTTGATTAAATTTAATATGTGTCTAAATAATATTTTGCTAATTATTTTATTGTAGTTAAATGCTCAACTCGAAACTTATTCTTAATCCTGATAGAGTTGAATTTATTTTAGTTTGTAAGTAGATGTAAGCTTTGAACTCGTCTAAAAATTACTTTATTATTTAGATACTAATGTAGTAATGTAATTACATAGTTATTGAATTGATATATATTCTGAATGAAAATTAAATGAATCGATATATTAGAGATTTTGATGTACCAGTAATTGAAACATTCAGTCTTAAAAATAACTCTGAAGGTAAAACAATTTTAAAGGTCAATGATAATAATGTAAATTTTACTATTATTAATAATAACATTCGCAGTGTGGGAAAAAACTTGGACGAATTTAAGTTATTTTTACAATATTTAGATTGTAATGTAGAATGCATTATACTTAGTGAAACTTGGCAACTCTTAGATTCCAATATATTTAATATTCCGGGTTACACTCATGTCTATAGCGGAGGTAAATACAATCAAAATGATGGGGTTCTAGTATATATAAAAGAGAAATACGACTATACATATAAAATTATTACCATAAATAACTATAGTTTTATACTAATTAGAATTAAAGTGGGACATAAATATATTGCTATTACAGCATGCTACAGACCATCTGGATCTGATACCGGCGAATTCATATTGTCTCTTCAAGAATATTTTGATGCACTAAAGAGTAAAAATGAAATATACCACATATTCTGTGGAGACATTAATATTAATTTACTGGTTGATACCCAGATGGTACTTGATTATCTTAATGTACTACATGAACACGGCTTTACTTCGACAATCAACTCTCCCACGAGAGTCCAAAATAATAGCAAGTCGTGTTTGGACCACATCTTTATTAAAACTTTGCATGAAACAGACAATATAATACCAATGGTATTAGAAAATGATATAACCGATCATTACACTACAATTTTACAAATAATTAATGTAAACTGTGAACATAGCCGCCACCAAAAAATTATAAAACATATAAACTACAAACAATTGCAATATAAGGCAAAACTAGCACTTTGGGATGATGTTTATACTGAGGATCCAGAACTTGCAATAAATAAATTCATTACCATTCTCTCGAATGTTATAGAAGAAAGTACAGTAATCAGAAAATCAAATAGGAAAACCACCAAAATTGCACCATGGACTACAAATTCTATACTGAAATTAATAAATGAAAAAAATAAAATATTTAAACAACTACAGAGAACGCCAAATAATACTGAATTAAAAAACTTACATAAAACTTATAGAAATAAATTAACAAATACAATTCAAAACGCCAAGTATAATTTTTACAAACAACTAATTAATTCAAACCAAGGCAAATCTAGCGAATTGTGGCGTATAGTACAAAACCTGAGCGGTCAAAAAAAAAATACAAAAAAAATTGAAGCTATCAAAAATGAAAAAGGAGACACTTTATCTAACGATAAAGCTATCAGCAATGAGTTCAATCAGCAATTTGTTAAAGTGGGTGTTAATCTAGCCGAAAAGATTAAAAAAGATAGTTTGATTTCATTCCCTAAAATTACGCTTCAAAACTCGATGGTTTTTCTTGAAACAAATGTGTCTGAAGTTACAACATTAATAAACGATTTAAAAGACAAAAAAGCACCTGGAATTGATGAAATATGTGCGGAAATGTTAAAATCAACAGCATCATCAATTGCAAATCCATTAACACATATTCTAAATCAATGCATAAAAAAATCTATATTCCCCTCTGCGTTCAAACTTTCAATAGTGACACCGATTTTTAAAAAAGGTGATAAAAAAATTTTCAGTAATTACCGACCAATCTCATTACTTACGCATCTATCAAAAATTTTTGAAAAATTAATAAAAAATAGACTTAACAATTTCCTAAACAAGTTTAATATAATATCTCCCAAACAGTATGGTTTTAAAGTAAAAACGTCTACCGAGGATGCTATACTAACATTAGTTTCCCAAATACACAATGCTCAAAAAAAAACAGACCAAGTCTCTGTATATTTCTTGACCTTAGTAAAGCTTTCGATACAGTCGATCATTGTTTATTACTAGAGTGTTTGGAAAACGTAGGTATTAGAGGAATCCCCCTGACCCTACTTAAAAGTTACCTAACTAATAGATATCAGAGTGTTAGAATAAATGGTGAGACTAGCGAACCTGAGCTAATTAAGTATGGAGTGCCTCAAGGGAGTGTCTTAGGTCCAGTCCTCTTTAATATATATATATATATATAAATAATCTGTTTTCAATTGATAGTCCAGGTAGAATTTTGGGATTTGCAGACGATACTGCAATTTTTTATGAGGCAAATAATTGGCATGAACTAAAATATATTGCAGAAAGCGACTTTCTGAAAGTGAAGGGATGGCTAGATAACATGTCACTCACTATAAACATGGATAAAACAAAATACATGCCATTTACTTGCAATGCTTGTTGTCTCCCTTCGTACAACCAACTAACCATAGCGACACGTGGACACCACTACGCACTGGAATCTGTTGCTGAAATAAAATACCTTGGTGTATATATAGATAATCATCTGAAATGGGAATACCATAAAAATTATACTATTAAAAAATTACAGGGTATTTTATACAAATTTAAATACTTAAAAAAACATCTACCTGTACAAAATCTAATAACATTATATTACGCCTTGGTAGAAAGTCATTTAAGATATGGCATTGTTATTTGGGGAAGTGCACTTAGGTGTCACTTGAAAGCATTAGAAACAATACAAAAAAGGTTTTTAAAAATAATTTTTTCGCGAGATTTTCGTTATCCTAGTAACCTATTGTATTCGGAAGGCAAAATTCTGGATCTTAGGCAACTATACTTTTACTGTTCGGTTCAAAAATACAAGTTCACCACGAAAGAACCTAATCTACTATTCCATTATTATAATACTCGGAACAGAAATCTTCATCATCTTCCTCAGGTTGGTAAATCACTTACTCAACGATCCTTTGCTTACCTTGCACCTAAAATGTACAACCAATTGCCCGAATCCATTAAAAATCTTATTCACAAATCTACATTTAAAATACAAATTAAAAATCTATTGTTTAATACTTCCCGTCAAATAATAAATGATTTAATAGAATCAAAAATACTTACCGTAAAATTGTAAATTTATACTTATAGGCTGTATAAAGATATATGAGTATAATTTTCATGTGATAAAAAATATAGGTAGATGATGTCCGGCTTTGTTAATTTTTCCAATGAAGTCAATAATTTAATTAAATTTTTCCTACACTGCACGTCTGTTATTATTATTGTTATTTAATTGGTTTTACTTTATTATATTCTATTTTAGTGTGTATATGTTTATAATTATTGTACTTAAAATCTCCTACTTTTAGAGTGTAAAATATAGTAAATTTTGCTTGATAGTTCTAGTAAAATAAGTTGTGACTATTTTAGTCACAAACTAATTATTTTAATAACTTTTATTTTCTTCTTGAAACAAGTGATTTATCACTTATCGAGTAGCTTATTCATACCAAACTTATTAGTTTTTATTGTATATTAATTTTGTTTTAACTGTAATGCATATTTTGGATGAATAAATTATTATTATTATTAATTATTATTAATTTTACTTATCTAGGTATGGCCATTTTTTTTTGTTTTACGGTTTTGAGAAAGATTTTCGGTTAGTTACTGGTATCAAGCGTTTAGTTCGTATCACTTTAATTTTTTTGATATTTGGTACGGAAAAATGGCCCACGTTTATGAAAACAATGAACTAGTGGACATAATACTAACATACAGAGAGTGCCAACAAAATGCAGCTGCAGCATGTCGCCTTTACGTGGAAAGGTTTCCATTAAGAAATCATCCGGCTCCACGGATGTTTGTAAATTTAGTTATTCGACTTCGTGAGACATGATACTTAAAATAACAACGAGGGGGTCACGCTAAAAGACCTGCTCCACCTAAAATGGTAGAAATTGAGGAAAATATTTTGGAAATAGTGAAAGATGACCCAACAATAAGTACCAAAGCCATAGCAACTCAAGTCGATGTTTCCCATAGTAAAGTGTGGAAAACAATACGACAGGAACAATATTATCCCTATCATTATTAATGGGTACAAGCATTACAAGCTGAAGATAGAGTTGAATTTGCCAGTGGTTTTTACAACAGTTGAATAAAAATGAAGATTTTACGAAAATAATTTTAGCTGCAGACGAATCCACATTTACACGAAATGGGATATTTAATTTTCACAATAATCATGTTTGGGCAGTAAAAAATCAGCATGCCGTAAGAAGATCTAATTTCCAACATAGATTGTCATTAAATGTTTGAGCTGGTGTAGTAAATGGCATGCTTATTGGACCATACTTTTTTCCACCTCGGCTAACCAGAAACATTTATTTAGATTTTCTTCGACACCATCTGCCAGAATTATTAGAAGATGATCCACTGAATGTTAGGCAAGATATGTGGTTTCTACATGACGGAGCTCCGCCGCATTTCAGAAGAGGAGTTCGTGAATATTTGAATGAACAGTTTCCGAATAGATGGATAGGGAGGAATGGAACCGTTTCTTGGCCTGCACGCTCCCCGGACCTAACGCCTTTTGATTTTTTTCTGTGGGGTTATTTAAAACAGTTGGTGTATCATGATGGAGAAGTAAATACTGTGGAAGAACTTCAAGACTGCATTGTAAATGCTTGTGATGTTATTCGCAGACATCCGGATTTTATTTTTGAGGCATGTCAGGAGACTATGCATTAATCGGACAAATGGTGACAATTTTGAACAATTTTTGTAAAAATGGAATACATTTTACCGATAATGAATGTTTTTAATTTAAAAAAAAACCTGTAACTCCCTTATTATGCAACTTTTATTTTGGTGATTTTTGGCATATCGACTTCCTTTGACGAGTTCTACAAGCTGTTAAAATAAATGACTCAACTTTGAAAACACCCTGTATATGGCCGCACCACTTAACTTAAAACTTTTCACACATTTCTATCTGCTTTTATTGCTACATATAAATTAAAACATTTGTAACATAAGATTGTAAGATTGTAATTTGCCACAAATTATTCAAAATAATTTTTTGTTTGAAGTATTTGCTCTTACTCAACATTTGTCAAATTTTTCCTTTTTTTAACACCCCTTTCTACATTGTCATTAATTGTTAAAATATCTTTACATTGTTAAGTACTAAGTTAGTAGTAACCTGATAGATTTATCACATGTTATATATTTTTTTAAATTTTAAATTCTAATTCTCATTTATCACTTAACCCTTAATTGTTATATAATTTTGTTTCAATTATATCAAATTTAGTCTTATCGCATACTTTCTTACAGGCCTGATGATGGTAATTGACCGAAACTAGTCGCTTTCCCTGTTTTCAAAACAATAAATAATTTTTGTGGTTAAGACTTGGAGTTTTTCCTTTCCTTTACCATGAAGAATATTTTAAAATATCTATTTATATTCCATTATTAGATAATATTATCAAAGACATTAATGATAGATTTAGCAAAGATATTTTAAATGTGTTTGATTATCCATTTTTCCCGTTAATTTGATTGGCAAGACAAAATTATTGCGGAGTCTCTCATTTAGTCAATGGGATGATTTCTCGAAGATACTGACTGTTACAGCTGCACAGAAGTTTAAAGTAGAAATTGTATTATGGCAATCAGAGTTCAACAATTTTGACAGAAATAATGATTCTTTTCAATAAATGCAGTCATGATATCTATCCGACTATTAAATTAATTTTGAAATTTTTATGTACTATACCAGTAAGTGTTGCTACCGCAGAAAGAAGCTTTTCGGCATTGCGTCGTTTAAAAATTTGGCTGCGGTCACGAATGGGACAAGAAAGTTTAAATGCATATCCATCGGGATTTTAATTTTGCCGTCAAAAAAAATATAGACAGATTTGCTAACGCATACCAAAGAAAATGTGATTTTACGATTAATTAATCAAGATAAACCAATTTTTGATTTTTATGAGTGATTTTTAAGTTTATTTTTATATATATTTTTTTGTTATTTATATGTTTTATAAGAGTTTTTTGATTTTGTTTAAAATCTCTTATTATTTGTTATTTTTTAAATAAACGAATGATTCGTTGATAAAATTATCTACCACCCCCCGAAAAATCTTCCCAGATCCGCGCTTGACGTAATACCAACATCTCTGTGTTAGCTGAAAACTTCTACCTTGCCCTCGTATAAGGTCGAGATATATAATACCGGCAATTATAATCAATAAAATTCTGTGACCTTGCCGCTTTGATGAGTACCAGATGCGAATATTTTGATGTCATCGATCTAGTCTAGCACAAGATTAATTACTACATGTAAACTAACAAAATGTCAATTATTATTTAAATGTTTACATAGGGGATCCCTTTATTTTTTATTACAGTACAATTCGTTGAAAAATTTAACAGTTCTACCGAGCAACGTCGTAGATCGAAGTCGAACAAATGTATTTTTAATTTTAGTCTCAATTCTGTGAAAACTCAATATACCCAATATATTTTGGATTTTTCACTAAATGTGCTACGTAAAACTACAATATTATTATTAGAATTCGACTGAGTGGAATAATTTAAGAATATTATAACGCTAAATACAATACAAATACAAACACTATTTATTATAAAGACATCGGAAATTCAAATGTTTAGATATATTTATTATCCTCTCGTTATATTTAGTATTTTTGGGAACATGCTTCAAAATACTTGCATTTTATATCACACGATGGCAAAGTATGTACGTTTTTAGTAAACGCCTAATTTGGGTTACTGCTTACTTTAAATTTCAGTTTTGTGTATGTCAAATAGTCTCTGAGTAAAATGACTGATCGGACTCTTATTTTCTAACTCATATGAACATTTTTATATACGAGTACTCGTATACGAATTTTTTTCGTATGAAAAATGTTTTTGGTATTTTAGATGCCTTGCGATAAGCCTAAGCTTCTTATGTTCAATATTTTTCTGTATTATTGCCGCTATGCAGACTAGAAAGAAGAAAGCGAATCGGCAATGGTCAAATTTCAAATTTGCGTCCTTCTTTTTATAAAGTTCGCGAAATTGACTATAGTTGCATGTCTAATAACAGCGGAGTCAATTTTCTATGTAAAGCCTTGGTTTCTTTGAACACTCCGTCGCGGTGAGCGGACAGTCCGTCGACCGCTGAGGACAGCAATTTTCGCCCGAGGTGGTTTGTTAAAAAATATAGAAAATGATACTTTCTCTATGTCTGTACGTGCTGTTTATGTATTATGAATGTAAACAAAAGGTACTAAAATGGTTGCAAATAAATTGTTTGCGTTGTTATTATTGTTGGAAGAGGAAGAACAAGAGGAACTGGCAATTGCAACAGTCAAAGTTTCCAATAAGCCAGTGAATGAGTTGTTTTTCTGAAGCGATACAGAAGGTGCCTTTAATATCACTGTGCAGCGGAGGCTTTTTGGAAATGAAACCAAATTTAGGGAGTATTTTAGACTTTCTACAGATCTTTTTGAATTCGTGTTGAGTTTTATAAAGGACATAATTTCCAAGAAACCTAAAAATAAAGTCATGATGTCATCTGTATGTGTGAATTTGTCACTCATTGTTTTAAAATTAATAACAATATAATCTCCGCACATGCCGACGATTCCGCTGATATCAAACTCAACAGATATCAACCGATTCTTCACGACAAATCAGCGGCATGACGCCGTCCTGTTCAGCTAAGCGGATTCAAGAAAACCATTCCTATTTAAATACTCTGGTTGGATAAAATCGTCAAAACGCGACGGTTGACGGACTGTCCGCTCACAGCGACGAAGTGTTCAAAGAAACCAAGGCTTAAGTCAATGTAAAATGAAGTGATTTTTTAAAAAATTGGCATGAAGAATTAAAATAATGTGAAAAAAGTACCTAAGTACAAGTAACATGAGTGACAAAAACATCAAAGCAAGATTTACGTCGTTCCAGATTGTAAAACAGGATAAAAATCAAATGTAAAACTAAAGAAAACACAAGAAGAATTCAATTCAATGTATTTTTAAAGCTTTTAATGTAAGTAAAATAATGTATTCACGTCTAAATATAATATAACTGAGTTATATTTGAAATAAACTAGGA